TAAACAACATGCTAAAGTTATACATATATATTTATTATTCATTCAAAATATTTCCCCGATTTTGGTTGGCTAAAAGCACACGTTTAATTCACCATAACAAGTTACTGATGACCTAGCCTGTCCCAGGCTCCGAGATAGTCGAGTATTGAGAAAGCGCAAACACGAAAATAAAACGGGAGGAAACTGGGGAGAGCGGAGGTGTGTCCCGCCAACTTTTGCGTGCCTTTTTCTTTCGCGTCTTCCCCACTATCTGAGAGCCTGGAACAGGCTACTGATGACCAAATTTGGAAGAATTTTGTGTTTAACTAGGAAATGACGTCAAAAATGCAGCCTTCTACAGGTTAATGCACCGTTAACCGAGAAGACCTGGGGACGAGGTAGAGTTGTTTTGGTTGTGAAAACAAAAATGGCCGACACTTCACTCGTTTCAAGAGTAAGAACTACAGCTGGAACAAGGCGAATTAGTAGTTAAAAACACAGCAAAAACAGCAAGAAGGCAACTCGGAGGGCGACATCTGCTATTTGGAGAATATTTGCGGAGCTGGACAACACCCTCCTCGATCTCCATGATTCTTCATAAGATACTTAAGCCTCATTCATTAACTGTTTTATTATTCATTCAATTCCTTGTATACATATATATCATTTGTAATTATACCTGAAACAGAGGCTGCACCGAGCCGTAAGGTTTTTTACCTCTATAGACTCGAACAAGCCATACCTGAAAAAGAGCAAAGGATATAGCATAAACCACCCGTTGTACGTTTTGAAAGTCTAAAACGTCTCGTTAGGGCTTTATGAAAATGGTTTGCAATGTCTAACACCGATCGGCCTGTCATTCCCTGGCAGTTATTGAGCGCCGATGAAACAGATGAAGGAACTCAAAAATGAATAACATGACTTTCCGGTTATGTCCATATTCGTGGTCTCTTTTGATTCTTAAGGTGCGGAAAAACGGCAAAAAAAAAAACATGCAACTTGTCATGCAACAATGATGCAAAACGAGTTGAATAGCGATGTTACGCGTTTTACCACCCATATCAAACCTCTGTTGCAACAAATCAGGTTGTTAACAGGTTTGAACGTGTGTACTGTCGCAATTTGTAATAAATCCATCGCACTTTGTAATACCTGTCGCAATTTGTAATAAAAAGTGTCGCACTTCGTGATAAAAAAGCTGTCGCAATTTGTAATAACTGTCCATCGCACTTTGTAATAAACTAAGCTGTGGCAATTTGTAATAACTCCATCGCACTTTGTAATTACTTTTTGAGAGTAATTAAACTTACTTCGTCAGCATTAATATAGTGCCAAAATATGCATGGTACTTCATAAACAAAGATGATGACGTCTGCTAGCACGTAACATCTTCGCTCATTCAAACATTTAACTTTATTCACAGTCCTAAACATTTTTATTTAGATTAATGTTGATTAGTTATCTGACTTACGAAATGCTGTATTCTTAAACCTTGCTATTGTACTAGGTGGTTTGCATTCGATGGTTACCCGGTGGGTGTACTTCCTTACATGGCCAATACGGGGATGTGCCTCTGGACAGAGCATTGTCAGAGTACAGGATCTAGACACACTAGACACAAACGAGCCATTATTTAAAAGCATTTAATTTCCGCAAATTGTAACATCCATCCTACATCATTCAAATAAGGACACCAGGAAAGTTCAAGCTTTCCTCGTTAGATCTTATAACAGGTCGACACAACAAGTGAGAAAGCCGTGAGAAGAAGTCCGCTTAATTATGAAAAGAAACAGACGAAAGTCAAAGAGTTAACGAAAATGCTTAAAATGATGCTGCTTCCAGTAAGTTTTTTCCCTCTGGCGGGTAGATTATGCTTTAGTTTTGATTTAACAAATTATTTCATTTTTGCCGCTTGTTTCACACTGAGAGGTCATGACACGCATATTTATTTCTGTGGGTTTTGTTTCGGCAGGATTGGCCCTCTGATCCACAATTAACGCTCTTTGTTGCGGCTAAATGAGGATTTTCTCCAAAGTGCCTCCTGGATCTGAATAACTAAAAGCGATTTTCTTTTGTCCGCGAATGTGATGGTTTCCTGCAATGTTTTGACACGCTGGGCCCACAACGTCGAATGTCAAATGAACTTGACGGGTTCAAAATTTGTTTGCGTCCTCTGCCGGCCACTGAAGAAACAAGTTTTAGATACAATGTCCTGAGCGTCGAGTATTTCCTCGATTAGCCATTAGCTTTCGATTGGTTTCCAAATTTTTCATGACTTACTGTTAGAGCTGTTCTGATACGAAGTTCTGACACATGGGACGAAGTTTACTTTCTAGTTAGCACCTCTTCTGCTTTCCTGTTTTGATTTCTGCTGTGATTTTCTTGCATTTTAGCGCTTTCGTTCGAATTGCGCGTCGACGTCGCCTCACTGGAATTGACGTTTGGTAGTCTGTTACACAGCCGTTTTTAGTGTCGTCACGCAACGCTCCTCCCCACTAGTGGGGAGGAGCGTTGCGTGACGACACTAAAAGCGGCTGTGTAGCAGACTACACGTTTGGCTGCTTTGATTGTTTCCTGCAACGATTATTCTCACTCCTCTGTTTGCCTTTTGCTGTTGTTTATTTGTCCCTGCCGAGGTTCCAGTACCGAAATTGAAATTTCTTGATTAGGATCGCTGTCCGCGGACTTCAATTCCTTCTATTAAATAAACTGATATATCATTTAGCAAGTCAGTCATTTCCAACGAAATCGTGGAATCTGGCTCCCAATCGGGACAACCTTTCAAGAGAAAACCATTTGCTTTGTTTACAAAATCACTTTGGTCGATGAAACGCACCTCCTCGCGGGACAGCACTGAATAAAAGTTTGCAGATCTCTCGGGAAGCCAATTTCCGATTAATTCAAGCGTTTAATTGGTCTAAAAATAACTTTGGTGAAATTCACATATCCCAAGGGCTATAGCTAGACTGGGCGTTTCCGTCTCTGTCCCATTATAGCTCTTGGTTCCATATGATGTACCAACCGAAATTTCCGGAATTTTGGTTTGAATGGGAAGCATCAATAGTTTAACAAGTCGCCGTATCTCGGATTGTTGCAACTGTGATTTCAGACTTTATAACTCATGATCAGCTGTTTGTTTTTGAAAACTCGGATGTCAGATTAGCACTGTTCTGTTCGGAACTCCGAAAAACATCTTTTGACAGCAGTATACAATAAATTTTAAGACAGAATCCACCAGGAAATTGAGTAATTTTAATTTTCAATGGACAAAAACCTTGTACCAGAATGATTTATAGAATATCGCATTCTTTTATACATTTTTCAAGGGCTAAAGATGTAATTAGTCATCTAAATAACAACAAAGAAAATTTCTCGTGGGAGTCCGAGAAAATCAGAAAAGTCAAATTTCACAAGAATTATGAAAACACAGGTAAAGTGTTGAAAATTTCGTGTGTAATATCATAGGTGACGAATTACTCCTTAATTCTGGCACGAAATTTCAGTGATTATTCTTCTACAATAGCATGATTTGTACGTGATATTTGGCATAAATACCACTCGTGATATTTTGAAATTGTTATACATAATTTGAGACAATTTTGAAATATCACGAGTGCCTTGCAGTGAAAACGAAGAATTGCAACTGGTTTTTTTAATCTCATGCGGTGAAGTTTTTCGATGCAGCCAATCAGGTTCACTGTTGCAGCGTTAATTCCCTGCGGACGTGGGAGTAACCAATCGGCGACCCAGTTTTCAAATTCGATCTGAACTGATTTCTCGCTAGGAAATGAGGTTGCTTGCTTGTGTGACTAGAGGTCCGTCTCGTGAGCTTTATCAAACCGTAAGCACAGTTCATTTCATATTAGATACTTGAGAACGGGCCTCTGTAGCCAGGGTAATTTTCTCCCAAAATTCGAATTTTCTTTGCTTCGACTTAAGTTCGGTTTCTAGGGGCATTTTTGCTCGTATTTCATCACTGACAAAGATTATTTCGTCATCACACTCGTAAAAGCGAATTGTGATGGTCTCTACCTCATGTGAGACTTCGTATAATGTCCTAAGTCATTCCAATGCGATAAATTAGGGACTGAATCGAATTGTGCTTACAGGGTGGGGGGAGGGGCAGGGTCGAGTGGGGTGGTCGATGATGTTCGGGGAGGAAATGCAAAAGAGAGAGTCTCCAGATTTTAGATTTCCAGAGGTTGGCATCTCTGTGATAGGTAATCAAATATAATGGTGTACTCGTGAAATTATTCCCTAATTTCACTCGTCACCATTTGATTACACATACTAACATGTAATTTTGTGAAATATGACATTCATTTTCTCGGGCTCTCGTAAGAAATTTTCTTTGGAGTTATTACAGATGACTAATTACATCTTTAGCCCTTGAAAAATGTAAAAAAAAAGAAAACAGTCTTCTTTAAATTATTCTGGTACATGGATTTTGTCCAATGAAAATTACAATTACTCAATTTCCTGGTGGATTCCGTCTTAATTCTCCATCTCGAAAAACAACTTACGCTGTCTTCCGACTACAACTTTTTCCAGGGCGAAAGGCACATGTGATGACAACCCATGACACTATTACGCAACAATTCGTTCTGAGTTTTGGGGGGGTTACATATACTGAGTCTAGCTTACACAGACGGTCGAGAAGATCGCCAGCATCCGGGGTTCGAGCACGAACAGGCTTTTACAAGCTTTCGTAAAATTTCGACCTTTGCACCGAATATTTGATGATCGGCTGTGAAACTTCAACGTTTGGTGCCCAAAAATGTCATCTTCCGCATCACGTTTCGCAAGCGGGTTAGCCTGCGGGTCAGCCCGCCTCTCACATAAACACAACGACAATTTTAAGAGGTAAAGCGGGCCAGCCCTGCTAACCGGACTAGCTCACCTAAACAGTCCCTTGAAACTCTAGATTTGTTCTTACTGTCATGACCACGGACAATACTGACTAACAGAGGCTTCGTGTATCGTGTGTAAAGTATTATATAAGTGGTCTGTTGGAGTGCTACTCGAAGCTGTAATCGTTTTCGAACTCGACTGGAATCACCTAACTCTTCAGTGCATTTATCATAATCAACTGGTTTAATTTTTTTTTTTCTATACTCACCGTGATCCAACTTAATACGTGAGCAACAGATAAAACCTTCCTCCCTCTTCACGGCCATATTGTCATTCACTTCCTCGTTCAGTTTTCGTTTTTGTCGCATGGCAACCCCATCAACAAAGTCATCTTCTCCAAACCAAAAAAACTAACCTTGAACACTTTCATTTTCCTTTTTGGTTCCGTAAATGGAGTTTTGATGGACATGGTCGAACACCAAGGGTGCAAATGACTGATGCCGTCGGTAAAACAGGCTTCTTCCTATTCTCTTTTTTTCTTCTTTCTATCGACCCCCTCTTCTTACATCAACTTAGTGTCTAATTTATAAGTAATTGTCTCTAAGCTGCTTACTTTTGAAACCTGTTTGCGTGATGGCGCAAGGAATTTTTTTCTGTCGCGTTTTGTTATTGGCAGTTGCTCTCGTCTGTCAAACTCTAGTCTGATAGAGAGGGCTTGTTGCCGTACACGCGATTCAAGCAAATCACGTTTGCAAGATTGTGATTGTACCTAATTTATTGTATATCCGTTCCGTGAACAAAAACCTGTAAAAAAATAAATTGTTAATCGTTGCTTTATCTGTGTACTCACCGAGATATGGTGAAGAACCGTCAGTTGGCACTTGCGAAGAGGAGTTTTAAGGAAGTTGACTGAACTTAATGTAAACAAATATGCTTCTAAAGACCACCTCGTTTCATGTTATATTATCACTGCGTACATGACATCGAATCATGATCAGTATTCTTCAGCACGGGCGGAACATCGGAGTGCTCGATGTGGATGGTTTCCTAACATGTTTCGTTTCAGCAGCTTCTGCTTTTGAGAATATCGAGTTAGGTTATATTCACTGTGCTTTAAAGGAGAATTTCAGCATTACTTTGAAGGGTTTTACATGTGTTTCACTAATCAATCGAGAACTACTTGTGCACTCGGTCGCAACTAAACACAAAGTAGAGGGGGGAGTTACACAAGAGGGAGGAGGGAGAAATGACCCGGAAAAAGTAGGGAGGAAGGAGAACTCGGGTCGAAAATGCAGGGAGGAGGGAGAAAATGAAATGTTGGGAGTAGGGAGATATCGACTAGAAGGTAATTTTATGGCTTTTCTTTAACTTGCATCAAGACAAGGGATGGGGGGGAGGGGGGACAGGGAAAATGAAGTACACTGCAGTCCCCTTGGGTCTCCTAGGACTCCCTTCGTCAAACTTAACGGAGAAAGCAAAGAATCAAACTTTGACACATCTCAGGTTACCAGGTTTAAAACTTGACAACGACAGTCGCTACACACAACTCCTGCACTACGGTTTAAAGGAACTTATCCGTCCTTCGTAGCTTCGCTCTAACTAATAGGCCCGGCTAATAGGTCCTTAAGGGATTTTCCCTTACGATATGATATGAGGCGAGGCAACTTCGTTGTTGGTTTTGGTGCCATTTTCCCATAGCATCTTCTTCGGTCTAAGTAAAGCCAGGTGGTATTGTGTAACAAAAGGTAGTAGTTTTTTAGGTGCAGATTTGTTGCTCTGTTGAAGGGCTGTTTTCCTGTCGGCGAAATTTAACTCAGAGAGGTACTTTCTCACAATAGGGACAGGGTAGCCTCTTTCTCTCAGGTTTTTTTTCAAAATTTTAGATACTTTCCTCAAAAGTGGTTTGAGAGGAATCAGTCGTTAGACGCCTGAGCAGTTGTCATTTAATGAAGCATTTCTTCATGTCTGGTGGTTCGCACGAGTACGTGAAAGGCTTCTGTTGGCTCATGGGCTCCTAACTGGTTTATAATGTGTTCAGCATGTCAAGGATGGGTTCCTTGTTGAATCTAAATCTTCTTTCTATTGGCGCCCGCTCCTTACATCAACTTAGTGTCTAATTTATAAGTAATTGTCTCTAAGCTGCTTACTTTTGAAGCCTGTTTGTGTGATGGCGCGAGAATTTTCTTTCTGTCTACATTTTGTTATTGGCAGTTGCTCTCGTCTGTCAAACTATAGTCTGATAGAGAGGGCTTGTTGACGTACACGCGATTCAAGCAAATCAAGTTTCCAAGATTGTACCTAATTTATTGTATATTCGTTCTGTGAACAGAAACCTTTAAAAAAATAAATTGTTAATCGTTGCTTTATCCGTGTACCCAACGAGATATCGTGAAGAACCGTCAATAGGCAACTGAACTTAATGTAAACAAATACGCTTCTACAGATCACCTCGTTTCATGTTATATTGACATCGGATCATGATCAGTATTCTTCAGCACTCGCGGAACATCGCAGTGCTCGATGTGGACGGTTTCCTAACATGTTTCAGTTCAGCAGCTTCTGCTTTTGAGAATATCGAGTTAGGTTATATTCACTCTGCTTTACAGGAGAATTTCAGCATTACTTTGAAGGGTTTTACATGTGTTTCACTAATCAATCGAGAACTACTTGTGCACTCGGTCGCAACTAAACACAAAGTAGACAAAGTAGTGAGACTCGGCAACTGATAAGTTTCACCAGGAGAATCGAAACCATGGTTGTTTACCATTTATAAAAAAATTCTGGAAATTGTGGTTGGGAATGTTCGGTCCGTAAAAACGGTACGTGTCGTTTACTATTTGCCTAAAATTTCCGGATTGTCGCACCACACTAGACTGGATTCTGAGTTACAACATGAAACCAGTACGAAACTCAAGAAACTTGTAAATGGTAAACGAATTTCCATTCGGAACGTCCCAATCGCGAAAACGGGACCACCTTTTCAGAATTTCCGTTTGTCCCGGGAATTTCCCAGAGAAAGGAACGGAATAAAATTTCGACCTTTGCACCGAAAATTTGATGATCGGCTGTGAAACTTCAACGTTTGGTGCCCAAACAAGTCATCTTCCGCATCACGTTTCGGCTAAATTCTGTGATAGTTCTTTTGCCAAACGTGGGTTTTGCCGTGGCATCTGTCGCAGATCTTTTCACCAGGAAAACATATAAAACTCTCCATAGAGCTCGAACTGGCGGGCTCTAAGATAATTTAGCAGAAAGATTCTGCGGATTATAACAAAGGTTCGCAAATCATGAAACGCAAGTAAACCTCACTACTAAGATACAACCCCAACAAAGATAACTTTCTCAACGACTTTCGAAGAGTTGGCCAAGATGAATTTCAAGACATCGAGGCAATGACTTTAAGAGATCGCGCCTGCTCGATCTCCATCTCGTTTGTTAGAGCTAGAAATAGTCCGGCTAATTTGTCGGTTTGAAACTTTTCCTTCTCTTAGCCTTACTATCTTGGAGCCTCTTTTATGACAGGTTAACTAGCCCGGATAGCTGGGCTGGCCCGCTTTACCGGACTAGCTCGGCTAATGCCTTGTCTCCTCATAAAATTGTCGTTGTGTTTATATGAGTAGGCGGGCTGGCAAGACTTACCGAGCCAAGATCCCGGCAAGCGGGTTAGCCTGCGGGTCAGCCCGCCTCTCACATAAACACAACGACAACTGCTAACCGGACTAGCTCACTGACTTCATATAAACAGTCCCTTGGAACTCTAAATTTGTCGTTACTGTCATGATCATGGACAGTACGGACTAACAGAGGCTTCGTGTATCACGTCAGATGTGTGAAGTATCACATATTAAAGTGGTCTGCTGGAATGCTACTCGAAGCTGTAATCGTTTTCGAGCTGGACTGGAATCACCTAACTCTTCAGTGCATTTATCATAATCAACTGGTTTAATTTTTTTTTCTATACTCACCGTGATCCAACTTAATACGTGAGCAACGGATAAAACCTTCCTCCCTCTTCACGGCCAAATCGTCATTCACTTCCTCGTTCAGTTTTCGTTGTTAATATGTAATTGTTGCATCACCCCGCCGCCGCCCCGAAAGCCTGCGAGCAAGCTCTCCTATTTAGGCGACAGAAGCGAGCCTCGCGAGAACGCGCGAGTGAGGGGCCGAGGAAAGGAGTCCTCGGCCCCTCGCGGCTTCACCACTCGTTCGCGCGTAGTCGCGAGACTCGCTTCGCTCGCCCAAATAGGAGAGCTTGCTCGCAGGTTACCGCCCCTACTCACTCACTCACTCAAGAGGAGCTTAGGCTGGGAAACAAATTCACAGCATGAGTTCCATAGAAGCGATATTTTGCGCCAATCATTTCTGTCAGCAGTGAGGGGAAACATATCAACCCGTTGCTTTCGGCATGCGTTCTTGGGGTTATTTCACAAAACCACATATCCTTGAGATTAATCTGGCTGATAAAAAAAGGAATGTGTCTGCATGAGCACTCTCGCGAGGCAAAAAACATTAGAAGAACAATAATTATTAAAAAAATAAAAGTGACAAAAATCCTAGGACTGCATCGTGAAAAGAAATGCCTCATGAAGAATGCCCAAAAAATCGATTTTTGACCTAGTTAATTCGAATCAACTCAGTATCAATTCTACCGTTTCTAGCACGGTGCTACATTTAAAGGTCCTGGATAAACCCGGCCCCGAATCCCTATACCTCCGTTTGAGTTAAAATGCAGCCTAAAATAGGAATAAAAGGTTCGATTTCCGGTATTATAGAACAAAGTTCAGTTGTTGGTAACCTGAGATCAGGCTCTGTTTTCGTTTCGCTTTGAAAATATAAATAACATTCCGGCGGGCAAGGCGAAACGGAAATAGATTTTTGCGGTAGCCGTTAGAGAGAATGTATGAGAACCGCCAAAATTGCGCCTCAGGTTAAGTTGTTGGTAACCGTTGCTGTTTGCGCGCGCGCTTTCTATTGTAGTGGGCTCAAGAAAAAACGGGCGCGCGAGAAGGAGACACGCGAGGGAAGAGGTAGCTCCCTCACCCCCTGCTTTTACAAAGAACAAAATTTTCCGTCAATTCCCCGATGAAATATGTTCTGTTCTGCCAGCGGATCTCAAGCCTGCGGTTGTTTATTCCACACCAGACAACCGAACAACTTGTATGTTGTATCCACGTTCGGTCTTTGTACCGGACTGCTTAGACAACGAGAATTTCCTACTGAAGGTTTTCTAAATTCTGAAAAAATTAACCTTGTTGTTGACTAATGGAATCGCTATCGACAGTGGAATGCGTGTTAGTTATGGCGGGAAAACCTTCCATTCGAATGATGAATTGCAAAAAATGCAAACAAGAATCGCCGAGCCGGAGCACGAAATGCGTGAACTTGAAAAGAGTAATGAATATCTAAACTCATTTCTGCCATCCTCTCCTCCTATAGCAACCTCTTCTGCATCTTGTTCGTCAAAATATTGTAGCATCGACAGTCTCAACGTCAGCAGCAGCAGCACAAGCAACATCACGAGTTGCAGCAGCAACTGCAACAGTAGCATTAGCAACGCCAGGGATATCGAGGCTTCTTAGGTCCAACCTTAAAAAAGAGGAAAGTTGTGAGTGAATGCAGGAAAGTGAGCGCTTTTGTAGATGGTGAGCTAGCAAAATATCATGAGACACTTGCCTGTGTATTAGGAAACAGTTTTTCGTAAGGTACTGATGAAGAGAAAGGAAAGGTCTCGGAAACCATATCAGAAATGGTCAATTTAGTCATGGATGCCCGAGGAACTATTGAAAGGACTAACAGAGCTGCTCTTACCAATGACTTATCAGCGGCTGCTGAAACGTATGCGAGTGCGTGATTGGGTCATGCTCTATTTCAAACTGCAAGCCAGATTACCGGATGGTGCATGGCAAACATAACTCAACCTTACTCAGCTTGGAAGAAGTGGGGTAAGTTTTACCAAAAAATAACAAATTAATGGTTTCTGTATTCCAAATGGGAAAAAAGTTTTAAACTAATAACCTCATGGGGTTAGTCCCCAAGATAAGCCCCTCTCACCCTTGCCTCCCCTCAAAAAAAAATCCCATTGTGCAGAGATTCCAGTCCCATCAAGTAAAAAAGAGAAGTTTTTGGAGTGGCATAGCTGTTCCCACTAACACCGAAGGCTCAAGCCTCTAGGAGTGTCTGGGGCATGCTCCCACGGGGAAAGATAATTTTAAGATATGAGATCCAAAATTATTGCAGGCTCATGCTCAGATGCCGAAAGGTATAAAATATGGCTGAGAAACGATGGGAAAAAGGCAAAGAATCATGCTTAAAAGACTGGTTAATCAAAGAAAACTTTAATCTTTGATTGGTTGGGAAGAATTTCAGAAACTGGGAGAATTTTGAAGCGAAAACAGGAGGTCAGAAATATTCGCCGAAAAGGGGAGGTTTCCAGCCAAAACAGGAGGGCTGGAATTTCTGATTGTGTTATCACTGAATATCACGCAGAAACACTGGGTATATTCTTTAATTTGCAGTACTTCTTCCTTGTAACTTGCCTTCCTGGTATCACCTCCCCCCTCATTCCCCCCTGGGATAATCCAATTATCCCAGTTCTACTATACATGTACTCCTCTATTCAACAATCCTGTTGCCATGGAGTTGCTTCGTGGAATTAACAAGTAGTTCAATCAATGCAACTAAACCAGCTTTCACTTCCATACAGATGGACTCCTCTTTGATTGTTCAATTAGCCAACAATTTGGAAAAGGAAAAATATTATTGTTTTGTTGTGCCTTCTGTTTTGTGCACAAAAAAGTATCATAGGCTGCTGTCCACAATGTTAATGAGTAGCACTTTTTTTGTCTGCTTACAGCAGTAAAGAAGCTAGGTTTTAGGGTTGTACATACAACTCTGTCCATCAAAGAGATGAACACCGACTTCCATTCCTGTGGTGTAGACCTTGCATCAGTATTGGTTCGGGCAATACGTGAACAACGTCTTTATTCACTGGATATAGCTGACATATCAGGCCATCTGATATTACGCGATGGTGGGATTTACAATTGACCTCAAATCGCATCCGATCGCACAATTTGAGAAAAATTCAATAATTCGTAAAAAAATGCTAAAAACAAGTAAAGTAGACAGTGAATTCTAACTTTAATTAAACATTTTCCCAATCTTAATGTTATTTAAGATGATTTACCACTAAAGAAAGCCTTGCAAGACATCTGAATTTCCAAGTGCGAGAACACTGTACCCTGATAAGGAGTAAAAATGCACAACTCACAACTTGTCACAACTTTGAACCTTCACAACTAATGACATGCAAGGGTGTTTCCATTTTCAGGTCATCAACAACACCAATCCCCCTTGTTTTGAACATTCTAAAAAGGCCGTTTGACATTGTTAGCATTGTCCGATTGCAACCATGGAATCTAACAAAAAGTTTAAAGTACGCGCGAAAGAGTTTTCAAAAGAGCGACAGAGCTATTACAAAAATTTAAGAAAGGAGCAAAAGAAGAGACGGAAGAAGAGAGTGTAAACCAAGTTTGCAAGCAGGGGTTGAGATCGTTGATGAGAGAAGGAGCCAATTAAGAAGTACAAGTGGTGACACAGAGACAAATGTGCCTCCTCGTGTCTCGAGAGAAGAGCAAAAAAAAAAAAGAAAGCTGGAAGATCCAGAGAAATGTTTGCCCCGAGGCAAAAGGATGGTTTCCGCGTCTATTCAACAAGAAAGAGAAAAGCAAAAAAAGAAAGGAGAAACTATTGTAGCCAGCCAAGGGAGAAAGTCTAAGTCGTCTATTTTAGTTTCGGCGGCTCCAAAACCCATGGAGAGTTCGGAATTCAAGGAGCGGGCTGCAAAAAATTTGATTAGAAAAGAGTGGTCTCGGTCTATCGGCAGCGGCACTTTTGGTACATACCGCGGAATTTCTGTCGTTATAAAACAATATAAAGATAAACGTTACGCTCGTAATAACAGCCACAATTTGTCTCTCTTACAAAAACAGGGAAAACATGAAGCACGTGTTCTGCTTAATCTGGGAGATCATCCAGGAATTCCTCTTCTGTTTAGGGTCTCCCTAAAAGAAGTGCCTGTCAGTCTTGTGCTGAAGTTTCATGGAAACGGGGATGAGAGCCTTGCCGTTAACAAAGCGGCGAAGAACAAAATAGTTTCTGTAAAAAGCGACTGGAATAGAATTTTTTATGATACTGCGGATGCTTTACAGGGGCGGATCCAGGATTTTTTTTAGGAGGGGGTGCACTCGTCTCTTGCTCTACTTCAACGCCAATAAACCACATAGTATTTTGCAGAATACCAATTGTATTAGAAAACCGCAGGTCATCTCAGGAGAGGGTGCGCACCCCCTGCACCCTCCCCCTAGATCCGCCCCTGCTTTAGAGCATATTAACAAGTGTGTATTTGCGCACAATGACCTTGAAACAAATCATGTTGTTTTAGAGAAACGTGATGACCAGGTTCTTCACCCGGTCATAATTGATTTTGCCAAAAGTGTGGCCTTCAGTAAGGCGAATAATCCCGTCCCCAAACCGGCCCATTTAAAGGGGAAATACAAGAACAGCTACATTGCACCCGAACCTGTTGACGGACCAGGGAAACCTTCGATCGAAAGTGACGTTTATTTACTAGCCTTCATGATCCAATCTGTTAACACAATTTTGAAATTTAAAAATACAGCCTGTGGATAGACCGTCGGTCTCCGAGGTAAAAGCGGCTTTACACCCCGCTTTGTAGTTTCTTTGTCTTTTTTGTTTTTAATTTTTTTAAAAATAACAAATATCAATATTGATAGTATCGGTATCTTTAGAATAGCAGTTGTCATAGAGGAATTTTAAAATTAAGATGCGTTATTAGTAGATAAAAAATGAAAACTGTTTGCACTTTTGTATTACGGTAAGCTGTTTTAACATTGTAACATTTATTCCAAGGTAGAAAAATTTTCGAAAGGAAGAATGTGAAAGCCCCGGGGGGGGGGACTCCGCATATGAAAGGAGTGCGGATGCTCGTCGGAAATTTTGAATCAAACCCCTAAAGGAGACCACTCTGGGCGTGGCCCAAGCTTTTTTTTGACCCCTAAAAGAGACGATGTCAAGACAGAGACAATATATATCTGTCTGGATTTAATAAAAGGTACCTCCAGAAATTTTTAGCAACAGTCTCATTTGAGGCTTGGTCAGTACTTGACCATTCTTGTTTGTTTGTTTGTTTGTTTGTTTGTTTTTTAATGATCTTTTCAGTACAAAAATCCCCTTAAAAGCTGCAGTAGATCAAAAACATGTGTTTAATATGCTGTTTACATCTTCCCCACCCCCCGCCTCTCCCGCAGTTCTCCCCTACCTATCATTTCCCATTAATCTCTACACTATGACATTTGAAGTCAGCGCGCGCGGTAGAGGTTGTTTTCCGTGGTCGGTTGATTTTCTAGGTTTCTTTTTGGCCGCCTCCAGCAAAGTTTTCCGGAAGGCATCATTAAGCCTTATGAAGGAACAAGTCTCACGATTGGCAAAGTCTGCCGTCGTCCAATATGTTACCGTATTTCGTCTCATTTTGCCTAATCGGGTGAAACACTGATCTTGGGCTTGAGACGGAAAGGCATCATATTGCGAGTTTTGATGTGAGTGGTGACAGTCTCTGNGGGGGGGGGGGGGGGGGGGGGGGGGGACTCCGCATATGAAAGGGGTGCGGATGCTCTTCGGAAATTTTGAATTAAACCCCTAAAGGAGACCACTCTGGGCGTGGCCCAAGCTTTTTTTGACCCCTAGCTAAAAGAGACCATGTCAAGACACAGACGATATATATCTGTTTGGATTTGATAAAAGGTACCTCCAGAAATTTTTAGCAACAGTCTCGTTTGAGGCTTGTTCAGTACTGGACCATTCTTGTTTGTTTGTTTGTTTTTTTAATGATCTTTTCAGTACAAAAATCCCCTTAAAAGCTGCAGTAGATCAAAAAACATGTGTTTAATATGCTGTTAACATCTTCCCCACCCTCCCCCCCGCCCCCCTCTCCCGCAGGTCTCCCCTACCTATCATTCCCATAATTCTCTACACTATGACATTTGAAATCAGCGCGCGCGGTAGAAGTTGTTTTCCGTGGTCGGTTGATTTTCTAAGTTTCTTTTTGGCCGCCTCCTGCAAAGTTTTCCGGAAGGCATCATTAAGCCTTATGAAGGAACAAATCTCACGATTGGCAAAGTCTGCCGTCGTCCAATATGTTACCGTATTTCGTCTCAGTTTGCCTAATCGGGTGAAACACTGATCTCGGGCTTGAGACGGAAAGGCATCATATTGCGAGCTTTGATGTGGGTGGTGACGAGTCTCTGGCCTCAAAAAGTAGCTTTTAGGAGTCAAAACTAGTCGGCGAGAGCAAAATTGATGCTGATTTCTGACCAGGCCAGAGACCAAACGGCCCGTCTACATCCAGGATCTTGAATAAATCGACTGTGTCAGCAAAGTTTACATGTGATGATTTATGAAGAGAAAGCGAGAGTTATTGAGAGAGGGTAATGTGATGATATTTCGCCCGTATTACACCTTTTGCTGTTCATTACGAGAAAATACGCAATCACTTGGGTATAACGGCGACCAATAGTGCGAAGATACATTCAATAGCGCGAAAATACGAACATTTGCGCATAAATCAGATTCAATTACGATTTTTGCATTTTTATCAACACTCAATAACACTTTTGGGCATTCATGTGCGTCTTTAGGCATACGAAAGACGAGAAATGTACTTTCATTAACGCCAACACCAAAGTCATTAACACCATCTTGAAAGTCAATAGGGACAACTTACATACATTAAAGTGCAGACACTATTCATTAACATTTTTATGACACTGTTTGCAATTCAACAGCATTCCTGGACAACCTTAGGATGGATAAGACAAACATTAATGTGCTTGTACAATCAATTGAGTGTTCTTTACATTTAATATGCAAAAATCGATTTTCAATAAAAAAGAAATCCAAACAAATTTGGCCTGNTTTCTACGCGTGTTATTACCCAGAAAGCGATGAATTCCAGAAGCTTGTGGCTTCTGTGGTGAATTTCTTTAGAATGAATGGTTACATGGTTGTAATGGACGTTATGAGCTGCAGCGAAATGGTAAATCTTGGACCAGAACGATGGGCAGAACAGCAGATTAAAAAAGCAAGCAAAGTACTCGTGTTTCTGTCACCTCGACTTTTACGTTTGTGTGGTGCAGAGGAGGACGAAACACAATACTCTAGTCAGGTATTGTCATATAATTTATAATATGGTTTTTGAGTTGCTAGAAGAAGTCAATTAAAGAAATGTCTGCAATTAATGGACGATTGACGTCACGCATAGACAGCGGCGCGGCGGCTCAGCTGGTTTTGCAGTGCGAAGCTCAAGAAAGTGGAGGAAGCTTACTGAAAGAGAAGCGAAAATAAACAAGAAAACAGCTCAGAGGATCGTGGAACTGAGAAATGTTGAAAAGTAGTACAATTAGAAGAGAAGAGGACTAGTTATGAGCTTGAGAATGTTTAATTGGAACGACAAAATAAATATTAGGTACGTCCGCTTTCGTAGGACATAAGAATTTGGCATATCTTGAAGAGAAATGCAAGAGATTCAAGTTATCGTCATCAAAAAAATATCAATTTACCTTATCCACTAATTTTGAAATGGGTTTCCAGGAAGATGATATTAAGTTGAAATCGTCGAAAGTAACGAGGTAGCCGACAAGCCAAATTGTTATTTTATTACACCTTTTGCTGTTCATTACGAGAAAATACGCAATCACTTGGGTATAACGGCGACCAATAGTGCGAAGATACATTCAATAGCGCGAAAATACGAACATTTGCGCATAAATCAGATTCAATTACGATTTTTGCATTTTTATCAACACTCAATAACACTTTTGGGCATTCATGTGCGTCTTTAGGCATACGAAAGACGAGAAATGTACTTTCATTAACGCCAACACCAAAGTCATTAACACCATCTTGAAAGTCAATAGGGACAACTTACATACATTAAAGTGCAGACACTATTCATTAACATTTTTATGACACTGTTTGCAATTCAACAGCATTCCTGGACAACCTTAGGATGGATAAGACAAACATTAATGTGCTTGTACAATCAATTGAGTGTTCTTTACATTTAATATGCAAAAATCGATTTTCAATAAAAAAGAAATCCAAACAAATTTGGCCTGAGTTTCAGTCCGTTAAATATATATCCCTCAAATACCTGGCTATTTAAACATTCTGGGAGGTAGGTTTGCATGAAATGGTACCCCTTAGCACATTTAGCAGCTGTCACAACGTCATGTTTCTGCGCACGGCTTCAAGCACTGCAGTTGTTGTTTCCGAACTCTGCTAGTGGGATTGCTAGGGCTTTGCCCTCATTCCTGTTATACGCTTTTAAATTTCCGGACTCGAGATGTCGGCCTTTGGTGTCGCTTTAAGACAACTTAAATCCAGGAAGTCACCGAAAAACCGACACAGTATTCATTACTCCGGCAGCTCCCGAGAAAAGCATTTGATAGGTAATATTGCCATGGTCATAGTCAAGTTTCGTCCTCGCTGGCCGCACACTTGGCGGTTCGCCCTCCACTCTCTGTCGCGCCCAACCATGACTTCTGGCCGTGTAGGGTAAATGTATAGCCGCAGCCGTCGACGAACACACAGTAGCGAAGTACGGCGTGATTCTTTAAACAACTTCAGGCCAATTTTTTGGGGGAATTGGTATTGTTTAATTGAAAACATATTTTTGTATATTAAATGTAAAGAACGCTCAATTGATTGCGCAAGCGCATTAATGTTTGTCTTATCCCTTCTAAAACTGTCCAAGAATGCTACTGAATTGCAAACAGTGTCATAAAAATGTTAATGAATAGCGTTTGCACTTAAATGTTTGTCTATTGTGCCTAATGATTTTCAAGATAATGTTAATGATTTGAATGTTGGTGTTAATGAAAGTATATTTTTCTCTTTTGTATGTCGAATGACGCAAATGAATGCCCAAAAGTGTTATTGAATGTTGATTAAAATGCAAAAATCGTAATTGAATCTGATTTACGCGCAAATGTTCGCTTTTTCGCGCTAATGAATGTATCTTCGCGCTGTTGGTCGCCGTTTCACGCAAATGATTGCGTATTTCCTCGTAATGAACAGCAAAAGGTGTAAGTGTGGAAACATTGTGTCTGGTTGGTTGTGGATATTGTTATCAGTACCGCCAACGAGGTTAATCGTGTGATTTCCTGAAGTTGTTGACAGACAGATTTCAGGTATGTCGTGGCGCTCGTGTTATAAGAATATTATGTACAAGCATGAAAACGCTTTGTAAGTGTTTAGTTGAAGTGATTTTGTCTTAGACAACCGATTGTGGGGTCAAGAAAGGTGGATTCTAGGTCCGTTTTAGTCGGGCATCTCGCTATGAGCCTCATAGTTTAAGAGACTGAAAGGTTATTATTTCTGTGCTTTTAAATGTCCGCTGCTCTTGCTGTGATGAACATTGC